GGTATACAGCAGTCATTCCATGTAATGTATAAACTAACTGTCCCTCGAGAAGACGGTATACAGCAGTCATTTTAAGTTATACATAAACTAACTGACCTTCGAGAAGACGGTATACAGCCGTCATTCCGAGTAATGCATAAAGTAATGCATAAACTAACTGACCCTGGAGAAGACTGGTTACTGCTTGTCAAGTATATACAGACTGACCTGAGAGAAAGCGAGTTAGAAGCATTTATTCAATGTCATTTATAAACTAACTGACCTTCGAGAAGCATTTATTCCATGTCATTTATAATCTGACCCTCAAGAAGGCGAGTTAGAAGCATTTATTCCATGTCATTTATAAACTTACTGACCCTCGAGAAGCATTTATTCCATGGCATTTATAAACAAACTGACCCTCGAGAAGCATTTATTCAATGTCATTTATAAACTAACTGACCCTCGAGAAGCATTTATTCCATGTCATTTATAATCTGACCCTCAAGAAGGCGAGTTAGAAGCATTTATTCCATGTCATTTATAAACTTACTGACCCTCGAGAAACATTTATTCCATGTCATTTATTAACTAACTGACCCTCAAGAAAGCGAGTTAGAAGCATTTATTCCATGTAATGTATAAAGTAACTGACCCTCAAGAGAGCAAGTGAGAAGCATGTATTCAATGTCAGATATGTACTGTCAGTCAGTCATATATAATATAACCTGCCCGACCCTCGTTCTGTGGATACGCTTACTGGAGACATGATATATAACATAGCATATATAACACGACTCAGCCCAAACCGACAAGGTACAACGTCAGTACAGGTGGCAGCCAAGGCGATCAATCTTGACAAGCGTAGTTATTGTGCATCTTAAGCAGGCGCACTTCCTGGTACACAACTGTTCTATGAAAGAGAGTAATGAAGCCGACGTTAAATATTATTGGTATAAATCAGGCATCACACTCTGGGCAATCGATGTGCATGAATACGGTTCATAATGATTAGACTATTGATAAAAGTTGACAGCTAGTCTCGACATTACAGATTCTACGTCTAAGAGGGGTTAGACTGGGACGATAACGTTATCATAGTAACTAAATATTGTCCAAAAATAACATTTGATTATTATACAGAGTACATTAGAAATAGGATAGGATAGGATGACAAAGGTCATATAAGAACAAACAACCTCTGTGGCTGGGGACTTCTAATAGTTTAAGAGTTGGAAAATGGGAAAACGCAAACGAAAACTTTACTTCACACTAAAAGAAACCTTTACACTTCAACACTCAAGGGAGAAAAGTGGAATTGTTTTATTTGTTTGTTGTTTAACGGCGCACTCAGCAATGTTCCAGCTTTATGTCAGTGGTTTGTAAAATATTGAATCTGGACCGGACAATCTAGTGTTTGATATCGAGATCATCGATCTACGCAACTGAAGTACAATGACGTGAATCAATCATGTCAGCGAGCCTGACCACCCGGGTCCCCTCGTCTCCTCTTTTCGACAAGAGTAGGTGGCTGAAGAATAACCCGGACCTTCAAGGGTAATTTGATAGGAGGTTGATGTCATACTCTGTTAGCAGTGACGACTTGTATGTTGCAATACTCTGTTGCTCTGGAGATACATGATTATTTTGTTTATGAATATTGGTAGTGTACTCGATATGATGGCTGATGCTGCTACTGCAGTCAACATAAGTGTACTGGGATTCAAGAAGTCTACCATGTGTTTGTGTCACATGTTTAATGACAGTAGTCATAGAGTGACTGAGTGAGTTCGGTTTTACGCCGCATTTTAGTAATATTCCAGCAATATCACGACGGGGGACACCATGAATGGGCTTCACACATTGTGCCCATGTGGCGAATCGAACTCGGGTCTTCGGCGTGACGAACGAACGCTTTAACCACTAGGCTACTCCACCGTCCCCAGTAGTCACAGCTGCTCACCTATCTGGACTTCTCGCATGCTTAATCTGCTTCAAGTCATATTTTGTCTACCATTACTGTATAACTGATTTTCTGTGACGAGCCATTTATGTACAGGTATTATTACGTTGCTATACTTTTATCAGGCAATTTGCCAAACAATAACTGGTGAGCGTGGCTCACCTCATGTTCAACAGGCCAACGTTTCAGACAACGATTTGACCTTTACTCCCAGCAGAGTTATGAACCAGGCAAACCTTTCAGGTTACAACTTTCACACCACATATTTTAAAAATAATATTTGATTTTACCGCTCCAGTGAAAAGTCGATAATATCAAACTGTTAAGTTTTTATTGTAGAAATGTTTTAGAGTGGTCATCGATCTGACGTCGTTTGTAGACATCCTGGTTTTGAACCTCTCCAAGTGATGATCGTATCGTTTTTGTAGTAAATAGGTAAACAGAGGCTTCTTAATTACGAATATATCTCAAGGCTACTGCTTGATCAAAAGACGACTTCAACATTTTTCCTGTTAATCATCAGAAAAAAGAATTCTTTCAGTTCCGTTCTGCTTGGAATACATTTGAAGTGTTTGAAAATAATTTTGTTACAAACCCGAAGGCATGCAAAAACACAGCAAGATCTCTTTGATATGGACGTTCAAATTGTATTGCTAAATTCTTTGATCAGCGATACACTATTCATATGGATATGATTTAATGATTATTTGACTAGTGAAAGGGAACACATTCAACCAACATACCAACGGTCATTAGCCTTTACCAATAACAAGAAGAAGAAAACGAGTTTAGGGATCATGTGACCATTTCAAGAAACATTTTCAAATCAGGATAGTCATGTGTTTGTGTATCACATTGCATGTTGAAGGTATCGTCATACTCTGGCTCACAGCCCCGGGAGACGAAAAGGAGAACACGGTTACTACTGAGGTCATGGTTTGGGTTGATATTGTATTTCCGGGAAACGACTTGAATGTCACATTGAAATCTGAGAACGACAACAATGTAACCCGGATTTCAGAAGACAGGTGTAATCACATAGGTAGTGGCCATACTACTCACATCAAAGGCTAAAACATATGTTCTGTACTGATAAAAGTGTGGTACAGCAGTCAACTAGCCCATCCACTATAACCAGTTAAACAACATGGCGATCATGTGTTGATACCTCAAGTTCGACGAAGACACATGCACTCTGTCAGTTGGGCCTAGATTTTCGAAGCTCTCTTAGCGCTAAGATAGTCTAAGTTAATGTTAGTGTATGGCAGTAACGGCTATCTTAGCGCTAAGAGAGCTTCGAAAATCTAGGCCCAGGTCTTGAATAGTAATATTACACTGGTTTTATGTGGATTGCTCCATTCGTATTGCGACGTGCGTGTATGTGTGGCTGCTTGTACTAGTCTTGTAGGACTAGCCCACTGAGATACCATGCCGCCGTCTAACATGGTTACCACACTCAGATAGCGACTCCAAGTGGAATAGTCCCGATTTTATTCCTTTATTTCCTAGCGCCAGGCAGGGTGAAAACAAGTTTCATCTTTTATCGTCTGTTGGTATGACGCGTCAAAGGAATTGAACCAGAGACCTTCTGCCGTCAGACGCTCTACCCACTAGCCAGTGGTGGCAGTCTCACGGATTACTAATTGTAGGTGATCAATAGATGAATATTCATGAACATATTAACTGTTACTTATTGTTTAAATGTTCATTTCTATTGCCATTGTAAGCTTCTGTCCATGTAAATGAGGTAGTCGTAGGGGTATGCGTGAGAACCCAACACTTTAACCACAACACCATTCCACCAGACCCGATTACTCACTGACGTTACGTATGTTTTATTGTTCCTAACATTGTGCATCAAGAGTATGGAATGGAAATAACGGGTTCCAGTCTACAAAATATAACTGCATACTGTTTGAATCTATGAATTCAATGCCAATGCATGTCTCAAAGCATAACATATACATACATACATACATGCATGCATACATACATACATACATACATACATACATACATACATACATACATACATACATACATACATACATACATACATACATACATACATACATACATACATACATACATACATACATACATACATACATACATACTTATATCTATATAATCCAAATCCCTTCGTCATAATGAAATTTCGATGCTTTTTCAAATGTCTTTTGGACAGAAAGAGGTTTCTGTTTTATTTTCTACTATCTTAATCATCATCATCGTCACCATCATCGCGACAGTGTAACGACAGTCCCTGGCCCATTACTGCTCTTTACTGAATGGAAACACACGTGATGATTTATCGTTTCAGGTAGTGAAATTATTCTTTGATCGTGTACATGTCAGGCTCGGAGTTTCATCTTACATCCGTGCTTGAGGTATTTCCTTTCATGTATATTCGTGTTTCCTTATGTGCATATTTTCGATCACCTCAAGTTAAATGTCAACAGATTCGACACGGTGATTTGTCCTCCATACAGGAAACACTACACACCATGTCTCGGGCATCTCCAGAAATAACTTCAAAGCCTGGTTAAAGAAACATTGGTAAGTTGGTAGCTTTGAGTAGGGGATGTTGCACACACGCGAGTAGCCACCCTTCAAACACTCCGAAATGCCTTCAGCTGTTAACAATTGATTATGAAGACGGATATTATGTTTTTGTAGTAAACTTAACCTATTTATGAGTTTCCAATTGTTTGTCTTGAAACGATTATCGAAAAAGTTCAGATGGACGATAGTACTCTATTTTATGCGTGCATGTATTCGAATATCAAACTACAAAGCTATATGTAACTGCTGTATTTCAGATAACTGTACCGATTTTCTAAAGCAGCCGAAGTTATGCATCAGTGGAATGTACCATCAGAAATGAAACGAAAGACATTCGTAAAAGACTTTTAGTTATAACTAGCATCGAAAGAGCTGCTGAAATTGCTGCAAATGTACTTGACATGTAAAGCAGAAAAATATGCTACTTAAATAACATGTATCGCACAGATAGATAAGGCAATGTATGAATACGGCAATTAAAATATTAAATTACCTTGTAGCAGATCAACAGATGCCAACCGGATACTGATCCGAACAGTGCACAAACGAATAAGGTTAGCAAAGAATGTTCAAATCCACGTGCTTAGCTTTATTTGGAGGCAACGCTAATTAACGGCCACGTGACGTGATTTGTTTCATCCTCCCTCGCCAGAGATCGATTGTGAAACCTACAAGAGCCAGGAGGAATCAATAAGAAGCGTGTTGGCCTCGATAGCCACGCCCCTCACAGTTGAGTAACTTACATAGGCAGCTGGAGACATCCGGTGGCTAATCCCGATGTCCCTTTTCGTCCGTGTAGGGAGGGAAGCAATTGCTCAATTTCAGACCAGTCCTGTTGTCCGGTCCGGGTCAATCGTTGGACGGGCGTTTATAGTGTGAGTCGGGGACAAGATGTCATATATGGTCCTCGAGATTGAGATCAGTGTAATATTGATATAAGTTCATCTTTAGCGCACACACTTGTTTGTACTGTCTTGTTTTGACAATCTTGGAAACCTTAAACACAGTAACAATTACCGAATTCAACACTACAAGGCTACAGAGGCTGTGATCGTTAGAGATTTTTCATCAGTTGATTGATTTTTGTTGCCTTTCAATTTACGCCATTGTAAATATATGTAGGACACGTGATGTACATCATTTGACGAAGGCTGTTTTTGTGTGAGACCAATGATTTGGTGGCTTCCAACCCAAAGCCTCAAAAATGGTGTCGGTTGACAATTACTTCAGACGATTCGGTTTAAAACAGATTCAGTTCCTGAAATCGATCTCTTGTTCAGACTGCAAGTAGATTTCAAAGTCATTTCCCGACATGTAATTTTTTGAGAGTTTTTGTCGGGGGTTTAAATAACTGTTCACACGATCTCTTTACGTTTCAGTGCAAAAACAATGGTTTCCATAATTTCAGTGACTTCTGAAATAGGCGTTTTAGAGATATGATTTATTGTTGGAAGACAGAACAGATCGATATATGGATGGCGGATGGATGCTAATCTGACAGACAGACATGCATTCTCAGGGCAACGTATCTTAATACAAACACGAACCAAAGTATTCTTCATACTGCAGAATGTACCAAACAATGTTACACCGGAGCCTTTCATGATCAATGAAGTACTCAGTGATACATTTTGCACAGGAGAATGAAATAACAGATATGTATGATGTCTTTCAGTGGCATTTAGAAGTTGTATCATAGTGACGACGTCATAGTCCCAACGGTCAGTTCACCTGATGAAGAGACCTGGAAACATCGTGAGGGAAATACAAAAGAAGTTTAATCCATAAAAATATCTTGGACAACAGATTTGTAATTATTTGTTTTAACTTCAGTTGTCATCCATAACTATCAAAGGAGCAAAATATGTCATATCAAGCCCTGCTATGGAAACTGGATGGGTCTTGTAATTGGCAATGCTGCTGTTGGAAATGAGTAAACAGCTATTGTAAGTCAGGACATTGTGGTCTGTTACCGTAAACATAAACAGAGCATGTAAATTTACCCGATAACATTTAAAATACAGGGATATCCTATAAACACGTTGTTTCTCTCCCAAAAGAATCCGATAACTCAGTAACCAACTTTACTGTACTTGTATTCGTTTTGTTACTAGTAATTGCCAGGGGTTGTTTATAAATACATCCTTTGTCAAGTCAAGCAACTAGATAGGATGTTTTTGGGGAAAATGTTTCGGGTGATTTTGAACGACCTCTCATGGTGCAGCTCAGAAGTAGACCTACTGTCAGGGTGGTCAATTGACCACTCCAGATATAGCACGACCGACCGAGCAGGTGATCACGGCTGACAACAAATCATCATTTAGTACCCGTATTCGTCCATTCCGCTTGTGCCGACTACAAACCACAACTAAACAACGGAATATTAACGTTTGATAACGGAGTATTAATGCAACTCTACCATATCAAATTTTCGCCCAGATGTTGCGTTACCGTATATTCAGTTTTATAGTTTTATGGCTAGCACCTACTAAAGTACTTGGGGTTGGGCTCACTGTACATGTATACATACATATCATTGGGCATGGATCTATGATGTCTGGAAGTGACCGCTTATCCAGTGATGCTCTTCGTAGCGGCCTCATACGAGAACCGATGATGAACAAGTCAACCAAACACGTCCATCTCAGTAAATAGCCCAACATACACTGCCATAATACAGTTTATGGGAACCAGGAACAGTCTCTGCACTGTTCGGTGCTTCACGTTATAATATTACGACGCAGGCTTCTCGCAAACGACAAGGAGGCATCATTTGGAATAGTTTGAAAGAACGGCGTCAATCGGCCAGGACTATTAGATCAATTTATCATAATATAATCATAAGCGAATAATGACATTATGAACGTGCGCACAATCAAGTAAAACATGCGATGGTAAACAGTGGCGAACGGCAGCTAGTTGCTGGTAACTGCATCGTGGTTTGAGAAAATGTTAACAGTTGGGCCATTAATGAATACTGAGCAAATGCTAAAAACAAATTACACTATAACGGTGATGACAGAAATGTACAACTTTATTGTGATTTGTTGTCTAGACGGAACTGGAAATATACCACTTTACATGTGCGACGTGTAGATTGAGTTTCATGATGTAGAGTCAATGGTGTGATGTTTAGTGCTTATTACGTACGGTTTGATTTCAAATCCTCACAAATAAGACATGAAATCAAGAGGCACCCGACGGAAGATTACTGGCAGTGAGATGTGTAGCCCCCTCACACGGATCACTCACCATATCAACTGTGGCCAGAATGTCTTCAATGTATTGCTGCAAAAAAGAAGACCTTATCCTAGAAATATTCAAACTGACCATAACGTAAAGATGAAGATTCTTCTTGGGAACAGGAAGGTTGCATACACGAAAGATAATAGGGAATGAAGTCGTACCGTTATGTGTACACATCGAAACCAGGCACATGCATACCAACACGACTCGTCCAAGTCGTTGTAGAATGTGAAAATACCTTCAACATGGTTGCCCTGTAATACGATCTTTATTCCATCAAGAAGACTACAAGAGGTCGTTGTGGACGAGGTTTGATTATCCACGCTGTACGTGAACTCGGAAACGACGTTGTCGCAGACTGGAATACCATTGAAACTCTCTCTTTGTGAACTCAAACTTAGAGTTGTTATTCTTGCTCTCAGTCCCGCATTTGCTCATCCCATGCCTTGACACTTGTGATTGGGAAACCTTTCCATTATGTCAATAAATTCTTTTCAGACGCCTTCATATTGTAACATTCAGTTTTGATACTGCTTCCAAATCATATAACAAGTAATGATTACATCATTACCTGAAATCACTTCGTGACTGAGCAATAGACGAGTTGATCCCAAGCGTCTCAGGGACTTAAAATACTCGGATATGATAGGCATGTTACATGTTCATAATGTGTGGCAATATTTATATATCCACCCTCTAACATCACAGATATTGAATACTGTTTTGAAAACTGACCAAAGTGAATATTGTTGTGATATTTAGAAAGTAGAAATAATGGAACTGGAACAGTTGTTATGTGTGGGTATGAGTGCTTTAAAGCCTAACGTTACCTGTATATCCTCAGCCATATAATAACGAATGTGAGTGTGACCTTCCACCACTATATTGATGGAGTTAAATTGTCGATACATGGCGACTAACACACACAGAATAAGCATGTAATATAATTTTGATGCATTCAATAAACTGAAAGGAACTGCCAAACATAATTAGATTCCAGGCAACCATCACATGACATAGCAACGCGTTAAAGTCGCACAACATCACAGTGACCCTAAAATAGAACTCCCTATTTGTGTTCCTCCAACCCAGACAGGGGAGACTAAGGACAGGGAAGACGCCTTCGTCTCTACACGACTTCGGAATGTAAGGTGCCTCAAATGATTAATGACCTGCTTGTGCTTTACAGTTCAAATGGCAGAAACACTTTACAAAATCAAAGGGAATTTCCCTTTCCGGCAAAGGCAGAAACTGTGTTTGAAATTGATCATACACGTGTTAATTATAGCTTCATCACTGGAACTTGATTGATCTATAACCCTTTGTTATAAATACTAAGTATGAGCATTCAAACAAAGTGATACGAATACACACACACAGAGACACACAAACGCTCACACATACGAGTTTCATAATATGTAAAGATAATCAGTTCAATGTGTCAGTGTATTCTTGTTTCAAGTTCGTCGACAGCTTTTCAGTTCAGACACACATGAGAGTTTGGTTCGATCCCGTGTGGTGTCTTGTTCGTTCAAGGCATCTTTGCAAAGAGATATAATTTGTTCAATGTATCCTACCATGGTGATAAAGTTGGTTCGCGGTACACTTAGTTACACTTGGCATAGTTGGTGAGGTGCGTCGACTCATATGGATTCAGTGTATCCATTCTGATAATGTATGACGATGCTACACAACCGGCCATGCAGTGTCGTTCCGGCAGTCGTAGTGGTCCCGCCGCACATCATCTACTTACAGAGCCACTTGGCGTATTGTTCGAATGTGTCGATTTATTAACGGTGGTACAACATGTGGTCCCCGTGCATAAAGATAAGTTGCATGCTAACGCTTCCTAATAGCATGACCAGTAACATTAATCACTGTGGCCTACCTCGTGTAAACAGTAATCTGATTGGCTGTTTCGGATCAGTTTCTTAAAGCCTGGTTTCTGATTAATCCTGTACACCTGGTGTTGCCTAGGGCACTCTGTATTTTTGAATCAATATTTGATTTCTGCAGAAACCTATTCTAAATCTGCAGATCACAGAATTATAAAGTTCTATAAGTTTGAAGCATGCAAATAGTCTTCAGGCGCCTTCCCGATCTCATCACTGACACTACATTACAGCAAATGTAGAGGTAAACTTGTTACTGTGGATCATGAAATTAAAAAGAATACTCATGGCCTGAGCGATCTGACGATGTTTTCCTGAAGTGTCAACCAATATATGACCCCACATCTACATGTATGGATGAATTGCAAGGTGCATTGTTTTCGGGTGTGATTAGCTCCGAAA